AAAATATGTTGAAATGGCATTTCCCCTTCATTTTTCATCATTCTCGTCATGCAACCCCCAGCGTTGGTTAATTTCGCGAATCGCATTTTTTTACTGAGCAAAGGCGTCTCAAGCCGACCAAGAATGTTTTTAAGACGGCGACGGGTGAGACCGTTCGGATCTTCTTCTTCTGAGTGCGCTCACGTGAGGAGAAACCGTACTGCGGGTTGACAAATCTCGTAATAACAAGGGGCCGGCTCAGTTTAACATGATATCACAAAGGAGGGAATACAAACAGGACTTGTTTGATGATGATTGTCGATTTCCGGTCAATTATCAAAACGACTCTGGAATGAATTAACGCTGCTCATGAACTAAGGTGCATTTTTGCCCGGGAAGATGCAGCTCTTAAAAGTTCGGTTTATCGAACACCCTGTTTGTTTAATTAAGCGTGGTTCCTTCAAGACGCTGCAGATTGGATCGTTGAGACTATCAAGGAGCGGGCCATTCTCAGCTGAAATCTGAAAAACGTCAGTTGATCTCGTAATCTCGCTTCTGCTCCGGACCGGGACACAATCATCGAATGTGGTCGCCTCGAGAATTACAAGAATTTGCGCTGTACTCTTGCGTTGTCGCCACTTGTCCAGAGGAGACTGGAGACGTTTCAAATATTGTTAACAACGGATAAAAACCGTTGCTCTTTAACAATATTCAATACCAACTTCAAACTTGGATGTTTCAAATCAATCGGCTTAAAACGTTAAAACATTGTCGATAAGAAAGAGGTTCAAAAAACGACTCATCTGGCGGCAATTTATCGTAAAAACATTGCGCGTTGAGCGGAACTCAAAATTATGACTCAAAAATTGTAAGATTTTTCGACTCAAAAAAAAGCTTGAACAAACCAACCGGTCATCCTTGAATATATTGAAAATATTTGTTTTTAACTCGATTCAACTTATTCCGTTATTCATCGATTTAAATTTCATCTTGTATCAATTTGGTTCTATAATCATTTACACATGTTAGTACCATATCTCATGCAATTTGATAATGACAGCTCATATAACAGTAAACCGGGCCTCAGACACGATTTATATCCACTTAACCCATTACAAGATAATGGGCCCCTCCATTGATTTCATAATAAATAAGGGTGTCACCACTTTAACGTTCGATTAAATCGATTCTCCTCGGGTCAATCCCCTTAACACATCACCTTGTTGCATCATGCATTTATTAAGCCCTCGAGTTCGCTCATCCGAAATGCGTACGTTCACCATTACGCTCTTATCCTCCAACAACAACCGCACCTTCGAAATCGGAAAGCCGCGACGTGTGTTAGATAATGTCACTCCAGGACTATTTTCTTAATCGAAGTCGTTTTCCGAAAGCTTCAAGTACGAGTCCAGGTCACATTTTTTTCTCCGCCCTTTCTTAGGACAGGTTAAAATTGATCGAAAAATACCCTTTCCGCTTGGAAAAGTAACTTGAGTTTCAAGAAAAAAAAACTGGAATTGCTGAATTGAATTCGCTCCACCTCAAAATCGCGCTTCTCGGTCGTGTTCGTCTTGTCATCTTCTCTTTTTTTCTTAGTATTTCTTGTCATATTCGGCGATGGAATATTGTGGACATCATCGCGCAAGAAATTAAGGCGATTCAGCGAAGTGAAAAAACCAAGATAGACGATTAATTACTGTCTCCAGTATAAAAACTGATAAAATTCTTAACACTTACGGGTTTTTTCTTAGCTAGAAAACACGTTAGGAAACTGACAAAATCGTAATTTTCTTGAAAAAAAAAGTAAATTTTTAACGATCGATTAAGGGTGTGCCAGCCTTAATTCAAAAAGATAATCTGCTTTTCGGAGAAGTAGATAAAGGCCATTTTGGGTCTTTAGGCACTGAAAAGATAGATTTTTAGCAAAATTAAGCTCCTAGAATTAAGGGTTTCGTTATGATATGAAACCTTAGAAGAGATTGCTCCGCCACGTCTACCTAACAGCTCCTTACATTATCAATAATTTGTCTAGAATCCAATCTTGTTTAACAAAAAGCGTCATTGTTCGCTTCTATCTTCAGGAATATTAAACGAAATCGAATTTATGCAGTATAAAATTATGAAATTAAAAATATTGATACATGAAAATCTTGTTTTTATTTATAAATTTCAAATTTCGAAACGAAAAATAAATCATTCTTTCGCAAAATCACCTTTTCATCTGATTATGCAAGAATCTTACCCAGAATTGAAAATAAGCCTTCAAAAAAAAAGGCTTCGCCAAAACACGCATTCCCCGATGCACGTAACTTGATGAAAACTTGCGGCGAGTGCAAAAATGTTCGACGAAAATACTCGAGTACTTTCTGACCAGTTTTAAAAATGTAGATCAGCAATTTGCCGCCAACACCATTTTTGACGAAAGGGACAAGTAATTTGTCTCTGTAAGTATTTTTAAAAGAGACATGCGAGTTTGTAAAACAAATATCTAAGTGGCTTAATGATAACTACGAAAAATTCTTAGAAAAAACAAGTCTGTGGAGTGTGTTCACCAATGACTTCTGTCCTAAGATCAGTGAACTTTTGTTTTAAAATCTTTATTTTTTCGTTTATTAATTTTCATAATTTTCAGATCAGGGGACAAATACCGCAAGAAAGAGGATCAAGGGAAATCAGGAAGAATTCGAATATAAGACTTTCTCTTCATCAGAAGATTTTTCTAACATCGGACATTTGGAACGGCTCTCGGCAGCTTGGACAGTTTTTCGGGTTGAGGGCGCTAAGACAGGAGAAACAGAAGGAATGAAAGAACTTCGTTATGCAAGATTGATGGTGGAGATTTTTGTCGAACGGCGAGAAGCACACTTTGCAACAGTTGTCCTCACCCGGATCTAAAAAATTTAAGCTTTATATTTTTATGATTTGAATAGCACTTTGATTCGATGACTTGCTTGTTTTTTCTTTTGCAATTTTCTTTCTTCTTGATAGAGCTTCGAGATTTCTGTCAAGTTCAATTTTTTCTCGTTCTAGTTTCTTATTTTCTTGGAGAAGGGTTTCAATTTTCTTTGAATTTGTGTCCATAGTCTTTTGAACATTATTGGATCGGTCAGTTATTCTATTTTCTTCGAATAAAATGCGCTGCATTTCGACTCTTAGGGACTTAATTTCATTTTCGCGTAAATTGAGGTCTCTTTAAAAATCATCAGGTAGACGAACGTCGTCCAAAGTTGCGTCTTCAATGGATAGATTTAATTTTTGATCTTCGAAAAAACGAGGTAGGCTAGAAGAAGAATGTTCGCATCGTTGATAATGCTCGAAAAACTGGTTAAATTTCAAAGAAGCATTGCATCCAAAGTAGAAACATTGGAAGAAAATATGTTGTGAAGATTTTTCTTTTTTGTACTCATAGAATTGACATATACAGTGCGAATTATGACGAAAATCCTGACGTGAATGACAATCTGTGCAAAATGCTTTGTTGCCACTTGTATCATCGCTGCAGTGGAATATATAGAACTTGCCCGGAACAACACTAAAAATTGATGAATAAGATTATCTTGAAGATGTTATTAACGAGCAAATTTTGCATTTGAAAACACGTATGTCTCCTGTTGATCGATCCAAATCGAATCTGTAATTTCCATTATCCAAATATCTTGCTGGAATTTCTCGTTTCTCAAGACATATTTTTCTTTCTTTTCTTGACATCTTGATTATGAAGCCAAGTAAAAAAATGTATTTGAACGCGGAAAAATAGAATTTGTTCATGACACTTAATATTTGCCACTGCGTTGTTTGCCTATAATGAACATCGTTTTCAAAATTCGGAGATTCAGGAATTTTAGTCACATCATCATGTTAAATCTGCCTCGTTTGTCTACTGATGCTGAGGATGATAAAATGAGCCAAAACATTTTGATTTTTAACCTTTAAGGGGGTGGTGGTCGAGAAAATTTTTTTCGACTTTTTAAAATTCTGATATTATTTTTAGATTCCTTGATAAAAAAGGAGTATTTTTGGTCTCTAGCTTTTTTTGATTGAACCAACCTTATTTAAGAAAATTTACGATTTTATGTTGTGAAATCGTCACTTTCGGGAATTTTAAAACGCGATTTTTCGAACTTATACCAACTAAAAATTGATTTTTATTGCGAGATAATGTTTCTCGATCAAACTATAATTATAAAAATCTTAAAAATTACGATTATTGTTATGTTTTCGAAAATTATATTTAAAAAATGAATGAAAATGACGATTTTTCAGGCTCCCAGCATTTTTGATTCAATAACGAACTTTTTTTCTACAGGCTGACACTTGAAAATCTTCACCCGCCCACATCCGTAAGGGTCTATTCTATCATCATATGAGGTTTGATCTTTGGAAAAAAAAGTTATTTTGCCCGTAATCTTGGATTGAAGTAGGGTACACTTTCATAAAATTTTTCTCAGCTTTTTCAAAAAAAAAAAAAAATTTTTCTCCACGCGCCCACATTCTTTCAACGTTTATCTTTAATCCCAGAAAATATAGATTTTCTTGTCCCTTTCGGTTTTTTCTCAATCATGGTTTGAAAAATCTTAATTCTCGACCACCACCCCCTTAAGTTTAGTGGAAGTTTCAAACACATCAATTCCTGATTCAGAAAAGATGAGATGTCGATCCGTCCCGCGCGCGTAATCATGAAAACTCCGTTTCGCACGGCGCCGCTGCTCATGAGCGCCATCAAAATCGCGCTTTATAATGCGCGTCAGAGAAGACGAGGACAACAAAACTCGGATAGACGAGTAATCAAAAGTCCAAAGAGGAAACGCTTTTAATCGACTTTTTGTTAGATACTTTCTCCCGTCACAGATCACAGGTAATGATTTTTCGTCAGAGATTTCAATAAGGAAATAAAAGATGTTTTAATTTGTTTTTTTTTATCGTTTTTCTGTAAATTAATCAAACTTTATTATCCTAGAAAAACAGAAGAATTATGGAGTAATAGTTAGAATAATTCAAAAAATAATATAATCTCCCAGAAAATGAAATACTCAACCGCCATCCTCACCTTTTTCTCCTCTACTTCTGCTGACTTGGCTCTCGCCCGAACTCGTCGCCAAGCTCCCCTCGACCAGGGACCACGAAGATACAAACAGCTCACTTCCCAGATGGAGTATTACAACTCCGAATTCGATGAGCGAAAATACTGGGCTTACGGTTGCCAGTGCTTGATCCTCGGTGATCGACCAATGTCCGATCCTGGCCATGGTCCACCAGTTGATGAGCTTGACGCTGTCTGCAAACAGTACAAGGACTGCCAAAAATGCGCGCGAATGACTTTCGGCGACATGTGCATTGGCGAATTCGTCGAGTACGGTCTACGAATCACCGGCAAAGGACCCCAATGCCGTGATGAAGAGGGCACCTGCGGACGAGCACTCTGTGAATGTGACAAGCAATTTGCTCAGAACCATGTCGAAAAGGTTTGCTCTGCATTCAAATTTGCCCATTCTAGTGTTTCTTCCGTAGAAAGACGTTTTCAACGCGGACTACCACTACTTCTGGACAACGATTGGTTTCGACTACCTCGAAGGTAGCTGCGAATCCACTCCTGGACCAAAGCCTGATCCTCAGTGCTGTAACAACCCAGCTGGACCTTACGTAAGTCTATATGAAGAAAACGGGACGATAGCTTATTTCTTTCGCTTCTTCGAAAAATTTTTTTTGAGTGATACCCTTATTTTGACATAGCTATTCGAGGAAAATTAAGCTCATTTATAATTATTTTAAGGGTATCTCATTGCTAATCTTTTCGAAAGAAAAACTCCTGAAAAAGGCGTTTTAGATCCTTTTTGTGACCTGAAATTAGCCTTTATCCTTTTTTTCACCTGTTAGACTAACAGTGTTAGTTCTTCAATTAACCGTTGGGTATATCCTTAATCCATTTCAGACCCTCTACAACGCGAACACAAAACAATGCTGCCCTAACTACCAAGTCAAACTCTCGACCGAAACTTGTTAAATTTCCCCCGCTTCTTCTTTTTTAACTCAATTTTCGACATGATTTCCTAATGATTTTTGAACCAATCAAAAATAGGATTTTATACATTTCTTTATCGAAATTCTATTCCACAAATTTTATTCATATTATATCATTTTAACAGTATATTTGTAAATAGCTTTTTGTAAATTTTGACCAATTTTTGCCAAAAATTTTTAACTAAAAAACACAAGTTTCGAGTCTTTTTATTCTTCCCGAGTTTTCAAAGTGGCCTACTTGGCCGGTAGGATTGGATTTTTGATGACACTTTGGAAATGAAGATGAAGAATTGAAGATGGAGACGAAGAAAATCGCCGCTGGCTGCTGAAAACTGCAAAAAATAAAAACTTGCACAAAATAAATAAAAAACATTCTTTTCAAAACAATTGTTAAATTTTCAAAAAAAAAAAATTATAAGAATCAGGCAATGAGAAATAAAGAAAGCATTTTTGGTCGAAAATTGCTTACCAAATTTGGTCTAACGATCTTCCCAAAAGAAGATATCTCCTGAAAGGCAAACCAAACTTCTTCCTATAAGAGTCAAGATTCCTATTCTTCGCACTTGAGCATTACTTTCGAATCATCAGAAATGGGACATCTGCTACCTGATCATTTCGGAACGGCGCGTCGCTGATTTCTGTCTGTCGCGACTCCCGACAGAAGCATGATTGTTCGCACTTACAGGAAACAACTTGATGTCTGGAAAAATTGCTCTCCAGGGAAAAGTCTAGCATGGCCAAGGCTCAATCGTTAAATGAACAGTTCTTTCGTTTTTTTATCTTGTGATTTTGGCTCGGAAAGCATCCAGAATCGCAGACATTTTTCGTCTACAATTTTTGAATAAATTTTCACATCTTTCACTAAGACAACACACCTGAGCATCATTTAGCACATTTGTTCCCGTTGGGTTTCTCCTCCATGATCCCCTGAGCGCGGAAACGAAGATTATGGAAATTAAGAGAGCGGAATTTCCTTCACCCACTCTTTCCTCTTATTCTCAATAGAAACTTTGATGAATATTAATTTTTAAAGAACATCATGAGCTTATATTTCAACAACTTCATTCAAAATTTTTGATTTCCTTTTTATGGGTCAATATTTGAAATGTATTTTGGCGATTTGTAAACAGAAAAGCGACAAAGTAAGGAAAAATTCTGAAAAATTACAGTTTATCAACTGAGAAATGATGAAATATGTACCTGCGTTTGCAGGTTTTTGTATTTATGCATGTATTGGCATGTTTATCTACAAGAAAATAACAACTCCGAATGCTGATAAAAGAGAATTGCGAGAAATAAAACGAGTTTTGGACAAAAACAACGCTAAGCTCAAATCTCTTGATGAGTCCTTTCAAGACGGAAGGCGACAGTTACAGGCTATCAATCGAAAACTCCGACTTCTCACTGATTCTGATAGATCCCGTTCTCAAGCAGAAGCTGAACTACCGTCTTGCTCAATTTGCTTTCAAGAATTTGATGAAAATCTGCATCATATTTCTTGCATAACGAAATGTTTTCATATGTTTTGTTTTTCATGTCTGTCATCTAAAGTGCTTTCACCAAAAATTTGCCCGGCCTGCAGAACGCCTTTTACAACCAAAGACGTTCAAAAACTCTTCTAAAGACAATAAAGTAGAAAAGATTTTTTTTATTCTTTTTGATCAGATTTTTCAGTTAGAATCGGTATTGCAAGTTTTCTTGATTGAATCGTATCATCGCTCGTTGTCGAAAAGTCGCCTCGCCCATTGCATTTTTTCGCATTTGATTTCGCCTCATCGCTCGTACGTAGTAAACGTAATATTGTCTGTAGCTCAAGTTGGCGCGAACAATTGTCAGGAAGCAGAAGAAGATGAAGGTGATGTTCATTTTTCAGCTAAATTATCGTTTTCTAGTTATGATAATTTCTTGAGAAATGAGAAAGATTAAATAGTCGGCTGGAATCAGCGCCGTCGGACAAAAATGGCGCCAGACAGAAATCATTGGAAAATGTTACGACTGCCTCTGTCCTCGAAGCAATCGATAATCATTAGATATTCCTCAATCTTTTCGTTAATTACAGTGTCTCGTAAATTCCAAATTGAGGCCAACTGGGTCATTCTCTAATGAGCTTCTTTTCTTTTGCTCGATGAAATTTTAACGAGCGGAATTGGGCGAAAAATCGAGACATGAAATTTAGGCCATTGCTTTCAAAAGAAAAAAAATCAGAGAATGCTGGGAACAAAACTTAAGCTTGTTGCTTTTGGCATTGGATTTCTCTTTCTTGGAATTATACGAAAGATTCCAAAATATTAACCAAATACTTAAATCTCGGAGAAAACGCCACAGATATTGTCAGGAAAAAAAACTATCCATTTTTGGAATCAACCAAAGTCTTCAGCATTCACAAAGTTCGGCAACGAATAAGACTTCAGTTTTGTTGAAAAAAGCTTTCGCATTGTTTAATTCAAGTGTTTTAAATGCTCGCTAGAATATTATTTTCGACGTTTGAATCAGTACAAAACTAGCTTTTGAAACTAGAAAACTAAGAGTATTGTCAATACAGTATTGATAGTATTGACAATACTGCATTGAGGAAAAGGAGCGACTGTATACTTAAGATGAAGAAGGAAAGCTCGAAAAAGTCTGACAAAATGCGAATCATCAAGCTTATGAAGGCGCCGACGTAGAAATGACGGAATTTATACCCTTATTTGAAATCGCGAAATTTGAAATATATTTCTTTCTGGAAAATCTGCTTCTGTAATAAAGAACAAAAGCCGAAAAGTGATTTTTATGGAAGTTGGACGAAAAAGGCGAGACAGCTTATTTGGAAAGATCTATACATTTTCGAGTAAGGAAGTTTTACTTTCTGCACGTCATATTTCCGACAGCTTTCAGACAGTTTTAATACGGAAGGCGCCGAGGATGAGCATCAGCGAATGAGAGAATTTACCTCGTTGACGTTAATCTTCTCAATCAAGGAGGAGAAACTTTTTTCCTATGTGGGAGCAGCTGTTAATCAAGAAAAGAGCGTCGATAAAACATTTAAAAATGACTCTTCCTTGATTTTCTGCTTCAACGACCATTGGGGAGAAAAAAGACTGATCGTAAAAATGCAAAATTCAACTTAGCGCCTTTTCGCTTCCGGCGGAGACTTTAAGGGAAGAAAAGAAACGCAAAGCATAAATAAAAATGCTTCGAAAATTGCGGATTCTTGAGCTGGGCCGCCCTGCCTTAGGGCATTGAACGTGGCTTCCGTAGCGCGGGCCTCACTGCACTGTGTTTTCTATTTTCAAAAATCAACCCGTTTTTTATTCTCGCCCGAAAAGGAGAAGGAGAGATAAGGGGCCCGTCGGGGGTCACGATTTTCGTAAAGAGAGAAAAGGGGAAAGAAAGAGGTAGTCAAAGAAAGGTAAGAAAGAGAGTTCAATCAAGGAGGGATACCCTTCATAATGCTAGAATTCGAAGATTTTTTTCTTCAAAATTTTTATTCAAAAATATGAAAGGAGATTAAAAAAGGCGAAGAGCATTTAAACCGCGGTTTTCTTACAAAATTTCACCGTTTTTCATCAGAGTTACCGGCATTCCAGAGGTTAAGGGCGTCCTCGAGATAACAGGGTCTTTTATGGACAGTTTTTTCTTCCAAGACTGCAAATTATCTTCTGTTTCGAAATTTTCAGCATTGATTCTCGTGTGCTCTATATTTGCTAGATTTGAAATTTTGAACTTGTAAAAAGGGATGACTCAGTTTGAGAGAATTAACCGGTGATTAGCAAGCCCCGAGAATTTAAGGGATGACTAGAGTTTTCGTATAAAACGGAGCAGATACGGAATTTTCCTCATTCCAAAGAGAAAAAATATAATATTAGCTTTTTCTTCAAAAATTATTCATCAATTTTGGTAATTATAATTGTATGTTTTCAAAAGATAAGCCCTAAATTAAAGCAATAATTATCAACTCAAGAACAGCTATTTTGAAAAGCAACAAAAAGTAAGACTTCATCAACAAAAGTGACCCGGGTTCTGATGAGAGCCGCTTATTTTCGCGTTAAATTTATAGTTGTGGCTCATAAAATTCGTCTCTCTTCCGAAGGGCTCGAAATAATGATCCGATAATGATTTATTATCGGAGTTAATTTTCAGCGAGTCTTAATTGACCAATTCGTCTTCTTTTCAGTTTTTATTAGAGCTCAGAATAGTACCTAATTAGAGACATATTTTTGAAAGCATTTGGGATCGGCCATTTTTAGAGAAAAATAGTGCGAATTCTTAGAGTGTCAGGTATAAACAATAATTTTCTAGGGCAGGGCGCCAAATTTTCAAGCGCTACTAAGCATCATATTAAATTTTTCAGAGAGGCGAAAACAGGAACCGACGAAAAAAAGAAGAGCCGTTTGGCAAGAAGAGCTCTAAAATACAAGAAAAATGGTGCGTTCCCAGAAAATGCCACCATTTATCAAGCTGACTTTGGTGGTTCTATGCGCGTACGTGCTCTGGACTATCAACCATCCCGAAATTTCGGACTCGCTCTCGGCGCGACGGGTCAGAAATTTCAACCCCAATTTGCAGAGGATGCGCGGTCAAATGGGGCAGATCAGGAATCGTTTTTAAGTCCTAACTCTTTCGATCAAGATTTTTCTTTAGACGAATTAAAAACTAAAAATTAATTGATTTTTTTAAATTACTTTTTCAAAAGTTCAAATGTTGATTAATTGCTGTCTTAGCCGTTTTAAAAATAATGATTTATAGCTCTCATAAAACACACCGGCCTAAAATCAGCCGCGTCCAAACATAAACTCTCTCTTTAAAAAACGCGAACAAGACAACAACAAGGAAACGTCCAACAAATGTCCGCTCCAATCGCAGCGGTTTCTCCCCAATTTCAATTTCCAACTTGCGAGAACGGGCCAAGCAGACATGTTGCTTTTCTCAAAACTCACAAAACTGGAAGCTCGACAATGTCGAATATCATGTTGAGATTCGCGGACACTCACAATTTGACTGTTGGACTTCCTTTGGAGGGAAAATGGGAACTTGGCGGATACCCTGCTTTTATTGACCACCATTTGATAGGAGCGGTTTTCAGATCAATTTGAAAAATAAAGAATTTCTCTTGTCAACATCCTCTTATTAAAACCGCCAAAGACCCGCAACTGACCTCCTACGACGTCTTGGGCCACCACTTCCGCTATAACAAGCAAAAACTCGACGAATTCATGCCCGCGGACACCAAATACGTCACCATCATTCGCTCCCCAGTCGACAACGTCGAGTCCGTTTTCGGGTTTTTCCAGGATCAAATGCCTTTCGAAGAGTGGCTCGGGGACGTGACGACGACAGAACGATTGAAGACTTTTTACGCTGACCCAGCGAAGTATTTCAAAAGAGATACTGATTGGTACTTCAGGTAAGAAATGACATCCTAGGATAAATTAATTGTTTACGATTTTGGTCCAGACAATCTCGATTCTCGTTATTCTGTCTCATTTAATCCTTCTCTTCTCAAACGCTTGTTTAGATCCAAAAACCACATGTTTTTCGACATCGGTTACGACGTGAACCGGGCGGAGGACGAGGCGTACGTAGACCAGGCCATCGCAGAAATGGACGAGAATTTTACTCTGATTCTTTTGACGGACTTCTTTGACGAGTCGCTGATTCTGATGAAGCACTTGCTTTGCTGGGACTGGGACGACATCGTCTACATCAAATTCAAGATGAGAACGGAAGAGGCGAAAGCAGAAATGAACCCGGAACTGGCAAAGAAAATTTTGGAGTGGAACCACGCAGATCATAAATTGTACGATTATTTCAATACTACGTTTTGGAAACGAGTAGGAACGGGATCGAGAATTGAAGGAAAAACATGATACTCACGAAAAAAGAGACTAATTTCATGAATTTAATAAAATGTCGATCCTGATTTTCAGAAGCCTTTGGCGTCGACAAAATGAACTCAGAATTGGAAGCTTTCCGAGCTGAGCAAAAAGCCGCCGAAACCGAATGTATTCAGTCCTACGAGCCGTTCAAGAAAAAACCCTGGATTTTGGGCGCGAAGTTGCGACCGCACCCGACCGACAAGTGCAAGCATCTCGCCTGGTCAGAAACCGTCTACGGCGAGTTCTTGAGGGACAAAATGTACAAATCGATTCCGAACCTGGTTTCGCCGACGGAAGAACAAAAAGCGGCTTCTCTTGCCTATTTCGAGCAAATTGCCGGCGCCGCGTTGCAAAGCAGTTGAAAAAATAGAAACATTGAAATTGAAAATTTACTGCAAAAAAAAAAGATATTTTATTTAATCAATTTTTACCTTTTAAACTTGTCAAACAGTTCAAACCATTTTTGTCGCAAATACCAATATACATATTATTATACAGAAAAAAAAGTTGGTTATTCACTACTCAAACTTTGAGTCTCAAAGGCTGCAGTAATTAATGGGAGAGACAAAAGCAATTGGATATTCAACTGAATAAGGTGCACGATCGTTGGTTATATTTTCAGTCCGGACTTGGTGGCCCCCAAAATCTGAAAAATGAGATAAACACAACTGGTCCCGTCAATCCTTTAGCGCTTACCTAAAGTTATTAGTTGAATAGGTCTTGCATCTTCATTTGTCTCGCCAGGTAAAACATAGATTGAATCTTTGAGTAGTAACGTCGTCGTCTTCATTATTGCCTGAGATTGTTTTTATATACTTGATCAAGATAATAATTTACCATGTTAAGGTGGCCGAGATGAAACCAACGATTGTCCATAAGCCGCCAAATATCATTCAATAGTGGACCATTCCACTCTTTTCCTCCGGTCGTCAATAGAACCCCTGAAGAAAGCCCAACAGTAGTAACATATTCTAGCTTTCTTAACCTTTGTTAAATTAATGTCAATAGTAAGGGAAAACCTCGGATGCGAAGAAAGATAAACCCAGCCGTCATCCATTAATGTTTCTGTGGCTCCTTCTGAATACGAGCCTCCAACGACAGTTGCTCGTCCTTGATAAAGCCCTAATCCCCCATTCCAATGCTCACTATTTGTTCTCGAGATCGGGTTAACGGTAATTCCGTCGAACTGTTCGCAATCTTTTTCTCTTGTATCTGTATATTTAACAGAGGCATAACCAAAACAAATAATTGCTAAAAATAATTTTCGAATCATTCGTTCCGAATGGAAAGCAAATAAACAAGAAATTGAGCGTCACTGATTTACTACCTTGCTGACCATTATTTATGGGTAATACGGAATGTCCACTTCGGTAATCTTCAAGGAGTTTAACTTGTAATTCGGTAAATTCACATCCATCTAACCGTGCAATCTTAAGAAGTTTTTTAATAAGAAGCTCTTATTAAGAACTATTATTGAATCAATAGTTTATTTATAGTTTGGCGCAATCTTGGTCGAAGAAACATGACTACAACGCCTTCTAACTATACTTAAGTATACTAAAGATGTATGTATGAATTACTTTGCGTTCATTAAAATGGCCTCCGAAAATGTGGAATTGATCATGAACATAAGCGTGTTTTGAGAGAACAGTGTAGTCGCCGAGTGTGCGCGTAGAATCAGACGGAGCTTTGATCGACAAAGTACGATTTGATCCATCATGCAATAAAACGTAATGCTTTAATAAGTCGCCATAGGTTGGTCGGATAATGTTGATCTGACTTTCCTTTTCTTTTGAATAAATGAAATTTTTGATTTCAGTCTCTCGATCAAACTTGAAAACACGGATTCTATTGTCGACCCTATTCAAGAGTCCTTCAACATGAGCAGTTATTCTGTGACCCATATTTCGTTTATCCCGACACCAATGTCGACACCAGGATTCTTTTAAGCATTTTCTTTTGGTGCATTGTTTTTGAATAAAATCGGCATCTACCTCACTTTTCCATCTGTTTTCCGAAATTTCCGCTGTATGTTTTTGAGAGAATTGATCAGTGTGCAATTTCAATTCAAATTCAGATAAGTCTGATGTGTTGAAATGAAGAATCGAGTTTTTGAAATAATCAGAATAGAATAAAGTTGAGCCATTAATAAGTCTTTCCAATCCAAAGAACTTCTTGCCGTCGAAAAACTGCAGCTCAAGAATCTTTTTGCTCTCTAAGACATCCTCTTTCTTTGAATTAAGCTCTGCTTTGAAACTCTCTGTTCCATTAACATCTATCTCAAAAGTAGCGATATGTTTTTGCTCGGCTAAAGATGAGAAATAATTATCAGGAACGATTGTTACTGGATAAGGTGGAAATTTTAAACTTGGAAGCCGTGGAAATTGACGTTGGCGGAAAGCATTTTTGGAAAACGCAGGAAAGACATCGTCATGAAAAGCAAAATGAGGATTGCTTGTGACGTGAATTTTTTCATCGGCTCGTTTTTGAACGAAATCAAGCTCAACAAAGTCGAAATCGAATACTATTTCGAACGTAGCATCGAAAACATAGCTCTGGATAAATATTTTTTCATTGTTGATGATTCCATTGCCGAAATACTCGCATTCATCGTTGTTGATTCCTCTTAGGTCAGTGTAGAGAAAGTCATTCTGAGCGAACAACCAGGAGAAACATACTGATTTTTCTTCGTATTTGACGAGTGAGCCTATCCACTCGCTTCCCAGAGTGATGAATTTTCCTTCCGCTTCGAGCAATAAAGAATATTGAGTGTTTGATAAGACAATGCTACGAGTAACTAGAACAAGAAGAAGCCTTTTTACGTCCATCAACGGGACAACGTGCACAGGGTCTAAATCTCGAAATCTTGCCGGCAAAGCGATTTCGTTCTTTTTCCATCCTTTCTCCATTTCTTCGTTTTTCCTGATTCTATTCAATGCAATCGTTGTCGATAGTTTGATGTAGTTTTCGCCAAGCCTGACACTCATCAAGTAAAATACTCCCTTGAAGCTGATGGAAGACGTTTTCGCGTTAAAATGGTTGCTGGCGATAAAACCCTGTGCTTCTTCAAAACGATTCAAATTGTAGTCTGTTGCGTAATAGTAGCACTTGTCTGATCTTCCGGTAGGGGAGCTTAAACAGGTCAAAAATGACTTTCAACATTTCGTTTTGTCTCTTTTTGACCTTTTTCAGATAACAACGACGGGAAACACCTGCTTGTCATTTTCTTTTCTCCGAATAACGATGTGATGAGTTCCGATAGACGCGCCGAAATGGAAGACGAAGAAGCCTCTAGAATAACGCAATGAAGTAAAAATAAGAAATTTTAAAAGCTTACATTCCTTGCCGTCGATTTGGGATGAACACAGGAGACTCTATTTCATGTTCGTTGAATTTCATCAGATTTCCAAGAGCATCGACCAAGTAATGAACTCCATTGAGAAAAGTTGCACCGGTCGACTAAAAATTTATTAAATGATCGCGAATTCTTCACTCACATAGGCATAAAATGAGCGAGGGGTCCTCAACGTTTGTCCTGCAATTTCATTATTTGTGAAATCGTAAAGACCGAGCGGGTATTTTTTCAATTCAGTCGATTGACGATGATCCCATCGAGCAGTTATCCACTGGATATTAACGTCGTCCACAGTTTGCTCCATTTCAGATGATGTTGTCTGAATCAAAAATGTCTCTCTCAAAGTTGACTCTGTAGAAGTTGACTGTGGTGTTGTCGACTGTGTTGTTGTTGATTGTGTTGTTGTCGACTCTGTTGTTGCTGACGGTGTTGTTGTTGACTGTTTTGCAGTCGACTGGGTTGATGCAAAATGAGTTGAAGAGGATGTGGTTGATACTAACAAGTCTTGAAGTTGATTTCCCGACGTTTCATCGAGATCAAAAACAGGAATAAATTTCTGCGGCATATCAACTTTCTCGCAATCATAAAAAGGACAGGGACATCCTGCTGGACAATATTTCTGAAACGGGCAAACCTCTCCAGCTGAATCAAAAGACCGAGTGAGCTCGAAGCAGATTTTTTCACATGGAGACATTGGGTTAGTCCTCGTTGTCTCCAAAACAAGCGTTGTAGAACATAAATGACGGCATATTTTTTGGTCATAGAATTTTTTCTTCTGGCAGCGGAGGAGATTTACTTGGTTTTCTTCTTCGGAGAAAGTTTGAACTTTTGTTTGTTGCTGGGGTATTTTTGAAATGGGATTAGGAATGATGAATTTTTTTGTTTCGTAGCATTGCTTCATTAGGTGCCCACAGTAGTCCATGTTTTCAAGAGTCACGCATTTTTTGTAGTTACGATGACATGTCGTAGTCAGAAAAGTTGTAACGACGCGTGATTTTTGTAGAGAGTCGTAGCCCGCTAGAAAGCATCAAAAGAAGTTGATGGCCATAAACTTACCTATAAGCATGATTGTTATCCAGAAAAGAGAACCGAGCGTAAGATAGGTTCGCTGTTGTTTGTCAGTAGCAAAACCGTGCTTAGCCAGAGTCATTCTATCGCGAATCACAGTCTTCATTGTTGCCTTCTTAAAATCGTGCTTTTGGGTGTGAATGCTGCGGGTCGTAAGCACCTCCTCGGTAAATAAATATACCTTTCCATCTTTCTTTTTCAGAACGCCAACACAGTCGCAATCCATGCACTGAAGAATTCATTTACGGTAATTTTGGAAAAAAAGTCGATAGGTACCCGAACTCTTGTCGATCTCAGTTGTAGGATTTGCCTTCCAAACTCATCCTCTACAAAATCTAGCATTCTCAAGAAAAAGTATTTTCGGAATGATTTTGAGTTGGTTAAAATCTCAAGCGGATTCTTCAAGACGGAAATTTCTCAGCAGAAGTAACATTTTAACGCTGTCAGTTTTATCCGCTTTGAGTTCGGCAAAGTACAATAATGCTTATTCGGCTTATTACTGAAAAGAGGAACGAGAGCATAACTTCCGTTACCGATGTGTTACGTCATCTGGAAATCGTCGGAAACGGTTTTCAGAATCAAAGAAAAGAAAACTAAAAGCTGATCTGACTCATAATTTCTGTTGCTCTCGTCTGTCTCGCGTTTAAAATTCATGAAAAGGTGTAAAAGTTACGAGAGCTACTCTCATTGTGCGCCAGCTGCAGTATAAAAGCAATATTGTCTTGATTAACGATGCAATGCCGCAGCTTCCAAGGTCGACACGGACGCATGCTTCGCTAGAATGGTGACGCTGTTTGAGATTATAAATTTTAACCGGCAGCAATATATAATATCAGCATTTGGAAAAGCTTGTAAGTGAGAAAGTTTAATTATTTTAGATGCCCTGATTCGTGTTTCGTAATGCAGCGACATTGAAAAGGGGGATTTTAGAGCAACTTT